AGGAAGAGGAAGAGGAAGAGGAGGAGGAAGAATTCCAGTCCGCTATTATATTTGACATGAAAAAGTATTGCGGTTGCAACATTGTATCTATTTGTATCCAAATAAAACCATCTGTATCCGAAATGGATACAAATAGATACAATGTTGCAACCACAATACTTTTTAATGTCAAATATAATAGCGGAGCTCTCTGCAGGGACAGAAGTAATTAAATGCCGGCCGTAGATGGGACGAAAATCGGCTTATTTTTTTTTATCGTTGGTGGTAACGTCGGCCTATTGAACGACCGATTTTTTCGTTTTTTTAAAAAAAAAAAAACGCCCAGTTTTCAACCTATCTATGGCCTACATAAATCTTAGAAAAGGAAGTTTAAAACAAAAACATTTCATATACAACTGCCACTTCAATTCCAGCCTGAGGCTTACATAGAGAGCACAACTGGGTAAATTCTTGTGAGAAAGCCTCAAACCAAGTTAATAAGTTCTAAATGACTGGAGCTGTCTGAGGGAAGGAAAAGCTAGAGGAGAAAACAGTGGGACTTATGGAAAAGGAAAACATGCTAGTCAAATGAATACCCCTGAACATGGGGGGGAGCCACAGCAACGTATATGAGGTGGTATCAAAAAGTTTCAAGACTTGTTTTGTAACACACCAACAGATGGCAGAACAAGACTGCACACACAGTCACAGGGAGCACCAACTTTCAAAAGTCAGTGTGCTAAAAGACATTGTCCTGTGTACATCGGGAGCTGTGCAACTGATGCTATTCTGACCATGTGCATTGCCATGTCTATTTCTTCATGGACAGAATGTTTGAGCAAATAGCAAATGTGAAGTTCTGCGTGAAACTTGTACACCTAAGTTTCATCAGCTGTAATGATCCTTGACATGAAGGACAGGTCATCAACTGACAGAGTTCTTGGCAGATTTTAGTGTCGTGTTCCTTCTGCTTCTGGGTTAGCAGCCTGGGGATGAACTTGGCAGCAACACGGCATCTGTTCAAATCACACGTGATGATTGCTTGGACCAGGGGCGGACTGACCATTTGGAAACTTGGGCACTGCCTGGGGTCAGTAGGGGGCCCCATGAGATGCCCCTGGTACCTTTTTCATAGGCTTTTTTGAGTTTGGGCAAGGACACAGGGGCCCCTGATCCCCTATTGCCCGGGGGCACCATGAGTTGTCAGTCCGCCCCTGGCTTGGACTGTTCCATATGACACACTGACAATGGCAGCAATGATGTAGATTGTTCTCTGATGATCATCATGCACAAGTTGCTGAATGATTTTTCACTTTTTTGGGGTTGAGCTCATTGAAGATCTTCCTGATCTCTCATCGTCTTCCAATGATGTTCTTCCGCTCTTGAAGTGCGCGAGCCACTCACTTTTGTTGCCAGCAGTTTAGACATTAATGGCTGTGTGATGAGTTATTTTGAGGGGACAGCAAATTTACAAGCTGTACACTCACTACTTTACATTGTAGCAAAGTGTCATTTCTTCAGTGTTGTCACATGAAAAGATAGAATAAAATATTTACAGAAATGTGAGGGGTGGACTCACTTCTGTGAGATACTGTAAATGGTTATGTAGGGAGCTTAACCTCCCTGGTGGTATTCCCGAGTGTAGCTCGGGGTAAAATTTCAGTACCAAGAGCGGTAACCCCGAGCTACACTCGGGCTTACCATGCGGCGTTACTCAGGGAGTCCCTGCAGCACTTACCTTGTCCCCTGCATGCGTCCCCTGGCCATCTCCACCGGCCAATGCCAGCATCCAGCTTCCGGGTTCCGGTCCCTGTGACGTCGGGACGTACAGGCGCCGGAACCGGCGGCAAATTTGACATTTTTAAAAAATGTCATTTTTTTTTTAAATTATTATTATATAGTAAAACATTACTGTTTCAATGCATTTCACATATATTTTGTCCCTACTGCTTTGTCCTGTGCCCTGCCTGCATTTTGACTGTTCTTTCTGCCTGGAAACTGAGAAATGTCCATGGCGTCTAAAAAGCGTCCCTTTATGTCAAAAGCGGTTGTAGATCAGCTAGAGAACAGCGATAGTAAATCAGAACCACTTGCAGAATTGAGTGATAATGATTCGAGGGGAAATTCGTCATCAGACACTGAAAATGATTTTGCGACTTTGCTCAGCGATGTGCGAATTTGCCTCTGTATTTCAAATTTCAGTGTTTTTGGTTTGATTATATTATTGAATTAAATATATTATTATTTTTTATGATTATTTATTAAATAATAATTTATGATTTCGTGTTTCAAGTTTTATCATACCCGGAATGTTTACTAGACTCTTGTTCGGACAGATTTCAGTGAGTTATTCCTAAAAATTACAGCCTACAATAAAAAACTACATATTTCCATGCAAAAAAATGGTACCGCTTTTCAGCACAAAAAATCTGAAATAATCATACCGCCAGGGAGGTTAAAGTAGGGGTGCAAGAGCTTAGCCAGCACAGAGAAAAAAAAGAAGAGGAGAGAGCTATGATGGCCAAGGGGGAGGAGACCATGCTAGGGCACTGGCTCTTCCAGTAGTAGTATGGGCAGCACAGAGGCTTTGTGGTTTGCATGTCTGCCTTGTAGCATTGGGGTCTATGGTATAAATCCTGGTTTCCTCCCACACTCTACAGGCATGCTGGTAGGTTAAAGTGGAATTCCAGTCAGTCTAACTAAGGCTAAACCTACTCCCATTCTAAGCCTATTATCTAACCCTGTAAAGGAAATATCCCTATACTTATCTATACTGAAGCTGCTCCAGGCTGGTTTTCAGCAGTGACTTCTGTGTGCAGGAGAGAAAACTGACAATAGCTACAAATGCCTGGGAGATGATGGCACTCATAGACTTGCTATTGGGCATGTGTTGTCAGCTGCCCCTCCTCTACAGAAAAGCCGCCAGTGACAGCTGGTCTTGGGACTGGACCAGAGCAACTTCAGAACAGGCAAGTATACAGATCTTTTCTTTACAGGTTTAGATAGAATAGGTTTAGAATGGGGGTGGGGAACAACTTTAGTATTAGATAGGTTTTGATTGGAATTCCACTTTAATTGGCTCTAGTCTTAATTGTCCCTAGTATGATTTTTTACTTGGCATGTACAAGATGGCGCTCTCACCTCCGATCCGCCCCAGCACCAATCTGATCAGTGCTCTGAGCCCCCAGGGTGAGAAAATCTAAAGAAATATCAACAATAGTATTTTTTTTCAGCAAGTTCAAACTAAACTTTCAATGGAATAAAATGTAATTTGTGGAAAGGAAAAAACACTACAAGTAAACCTGTAAAGTCTTTGATGGGTCCATGCTTTCCCCTGCAATGTGATAAGGTGGTGAAAGGGTCTCCTTAGGTTTTGTATAGAGTAGGGAAGAGTTAGAATGGGGGGGGGGGGGGTAATACAGGGTAGTATGGGGGTGTAATACTGTCCAGGTCCTCCTTGGCAAGATTTCCTCTTACTCCTGTCACTGGAAGATCTTGAATGTCAAGGCATGACAGGGTATCACCACCACAGGAAGTGAAGGAACACCTCCCCATTGGGGTCACAGACAAATAAAAACCTGATGGAGGATCTAACTCTTCCACAAATCATAAATTACAAAAAGGAAGCATTTCTGTCAGAGTTCATTTAGAAAAAAAAAAAAAAAACACCCATGACCTCTCTTGATTTCAGTCATCCTAGTCTGCAATCTGTATGATTTTTCCTCTTAATAGGATAAAATTCTATAGGAAGCAGCTGTGAGAGGATAATGTACATAGATTGGTGACAACCTGTCATCCAAGGCTCTCTGGCTGGGAGGAAGCCAACAGTCCCAGCACACTGTGCCAGCCTTGCTGGTGTTGTACTCCTCTATGGCCATGCAGCTATCCTCTACAGCAAAGCTCAGTCAGTCTAAGGACCCGATACCTACAGGAGAACCCTGCTGAGCCAGTAAAAAGGCAAAACAGCAACCTGCTTCCCTGATCTTCACAGCTAGGGGCGACCGCAGGCCATCCAATTTAGAAAAATAACAAACGTTACGATGGAAGTGGTTTTTGATTGCATGTGTTTCCTGTAGAGGAAGGACCTATCATCTCTTAAGCTGCTGTCCTGGAAGATTATTGGGGAATTATCAATTCCTCCTATGCTTTACGTTCAGAAACTCCACACAGGACAAAATCATTACCTTTTAATTATATTTAATAAAATGATCAAAAGTTGATCTAAAAAAAACCACAAACAATTTTCTAAAAAAAATATTTTCAATATCTACAAAGTACATTTTTGTTCATTGTAAACACAAATTACATAAATATTGCAATCTTAAAAATACTGGAAGAAACATTAAGGGCTCATTCACACTACTGCATTTTTATAACACTTGAGGCAACACATGCTAAATCATTCCCGAATGGCCCCCCAATGCACCTTGCCAGCGGACGTGCGCAGTGAGAAATGGTACATGCACTTTTTTGGTTTATTATGCAGCTCCTTCAAATGCAGATTAAAATGGAACTGTAATCAGAAAATTAATTCTTGCTAGATCACTTCAGGCTGGCCCCTTTTGCAGGTATAGCTATGTAAAACATTAAAAATAATTGCCTACTGTTTAAAATCCAGTTATACACGGTCTCACCCTGCTCTGCACATGCTCAGTTGCTCTCTATGTTTCTGCACTGTGCTGCAAATCTAAAGGCTGATTTGCTGACAGCCTAAAGATTTACTGCTGCTCAGGGGCTATGGAGTTCAGCAAAATGGCAGCCTCCAGCAAGAAGAAATGAGAGCAATGCTGGAGGCAATTTACAGCATACACTCATTTTGGTAGTATAATTATTTATGTGGAATGTTGCTAAAGAACATTATTTTTTATGAAGTTGTTATGGGTAAAGTTCCACTTTAATGTGCAGCATAACGCATGCTAATACACGTATGCTAATGAACCACAATAGTGTGAATGGGCCTTTAAAGGGTAGCTCCACTTTTGTGGGAAAAATTGCATATAAAAGTGCAGCACAAGCCATAGTCTAATTCAGGGGTGGACTGACAACTCATGGGGCCCCCGGCAATAGGGGATCATGGGGCCCCTGTGTCCTTGCCCAAACTCAAAAAAGCCTATGAAAAAGGTACCAGGGGCATCTCATGGGGCCCCCTACTGACCCCGGGCCCTTGGGCAGTGCCCTAGTTGCCAAATGGTCAGTCCGCCCCTGGTCTAATTTAATGTTATTACAAATTGTCTTTCCTTTTCAATCTGCACTAAGATAAGTCAGATTTTAAGCATCCTCTGCAACAACAAAAATTTAATTTTTGGTGACATACACTCCCAAAAGGTTAATTCTAAACGGATTGGGACCCTTCAACGTTCCTCATTAGAAAACTGCAAGTGCATCAGCTGATTAATGATGAATAAAATCACTCACTCATACTGTATTCTGCACATTGACATAATCAAGCAAAAATATATTCCGGCTGAGTAGACACAGGTGGGAATCTGCAACAGTTTGTCAAAATCCTTGCAATGTACACCGATCATCAAGAGTGAACTGAGATTTTTCTACAAAAATGGAGTTATTCTTTAAGCTCTTATCTGTTTATGATAATGTATACATTAAGGCATGGTTATTACAGTCATTTTTAAACTTTCATCAGTAAAATGGCAATCCCCTCAACAAGTATGCTGATATGTGGTGGTTTAGCAGCTCACTCGGCTGGCTTGTCCAGCTTTGTGTAGCTTGCGGCTAATTGGACTTTTCAATGCAATGCAGTTTTGTCCCCAGAAACCCACCAAAAGAACAAAAGTTCTGGTAATGCTCCAGCAGTTATTAAACCAGCAGCGGGCACTGCACTGGAAACTGCTGGTCATGGCAAAACCAGATTACATTGAAGAGTCAGAAACAGAATGTGGTTTCCTTAAAACAGGAAATAAATTATAAAGCTTCACAACACCACATTATATTGTAATTCTAAGAATCTGTTAGAAAGATAAAGTTGAACTCGAGGTAAGCAGAATAGACAGATCAAATGCATATATAGAAGCTGTTTTACCCATAAACTGATTTTTATTTGTCTATTCTGTTCTGAGGTTTTTCTAAGTACTGCCATACAGCATATCCATGTCTGGCACAGAAGGGAACTTGACTTAAAAAATATTTTTATTGATGTAGTAGGGCAACAGAGCTGCATTCATTTGTGTCTTTGATATATGCCCTGAGTTTAGCTTTAAGTTACTGACTTTTAAGACTTCTTGGGTCCATAGCAACAAAGCTGTGAATTCCCTGTTGTTTACAGCAGCTGACCAGGAATACAAAGATGTCTGTTTTAGCAGAAGAAATTATACTCCAAGGTGGAAGGGAAGTAGGGGGCAAGAACAGTGCCAGGTACAATAGTAAGGAAATCATTACACTGGTGTCCTTATGTGGTATAAGAAGCCAGCATGTGGCCCACGTACCAGACTTTACTTTCACACTTCTGCAACTTGTCATGCGACTTTGGACAAGTCAAAGCCCATTGTTTTCAATGGAACCTGTTAGGATCTATGCGACTTATGCAGGCCATACATGATTCGAATTCTGAACGATTTTTCGTCCAAAAATCAAAAACGTTGTTTGCTCAGTAATCCGATGGTGCCATCAATGATTTCAAAAATCGGCCGACCAAGTCATAAAGGTCACCCCATATAACAGGTGAAACCTCTGTTCCTTCAAGGTCACTGCTCATGCGCATATTCTTTTTAGAAAGATGATCGTACGATTTGACCATCGAGTTGAAAATCGGTCGTTTTTTCACTAATTTTCCAACATGCCTGATCACAGAAAAGGGGAGGAACCACGAACATCGGCCGGTGCCACTGACCCACTAACAGAGCGTAAATTACCCGATTATTCTTAGGTCCGATTTTCGGAAAAAAAAAAAATCGGTTGAATTTCGACCCAGGTATGGCCTGCATTAGTCGCAGCAACTTTGAAAAGGTTCCTACTTTGTTGCAACTTTGATGCACCTCGAGTGCCAGAGAGTGTAAAGTTACATCACAGTTGCACTGGAAATCGTGACTTTGGAATCGCACAAGAGTGAACGGAGCCTAAATGATGTTTTAGAAGTAACACAACTTACAACCTTTACACAGCAAAAACTAATAGAAATTGGAAATTTTCTTGAATTTGTTTTAGTAAAAAAAAAAGTGGATACTTGCAAATTAGTCTGCTTTGCAATCAACTTGCCATCCATATGTGGCAAAGGCATCTGTTGCACAAGGGAAACATTCAGGAGAACATAGTGTAAATACAATAAGCCAACAATATTACTCTAAAGCTTTGAGTACAAAGTGTAAGTCTCACACCTTGGAGAGTAATTAGCCTTGGCTCCTTAATTGGATTTCCAGATATTATGAGAATGGAAACCAGCAAGCTGTTTTTGACTCTTCCATTCAGAAAACAATCCACGCCAGTGTTCTACCATACGGGTAAAGACTAGCTACTGCATCTTCCTTCTTACAAAAAAATTATGTCCCTAATATGATCTAAAAATTGGAATTATTTTCTGGAAGAAGCTACTACTACCCAACTCAAACTTCTATGGTAGGTTTTATCCTTTCGACATTCTTTGGTTTTAAGAGCACACCAATACTTCAGGCCTTTAGTTCTATGGACATATTATTTCAGATGAAGAGTCATCTTAGTAGTGTAAACAACAGCAGGACGTGGGTCTCACTATAGGAGACATCATTTAAGTACACAGGCACGTCTAATGCTGAAGGGGTATTTGCACAATAACTGTATGTGAATAGGGTACACATCAAGAGTGCACAATCAGCCATGAACAGGCACATGATACAGGGTGTGGCTCCGAATTTCTTTTGTGTAAAAACAATTCTTAATTAGGTTCAGTCTGGTATTGGGAGTTCAAGAAAAATGTATTTTCCACAAAATAAAGCTTGTGCAGTCTTCCTTTTCTGCGATGAATGAAGCACCCATCAAGACTTCAGCTATCACCGCACAAGATAGGAGACTGTCCATTTCTTGGAGACTGGGTTCAACCTTGAACTCTTGCAAATTCACTGCGAAGCCAGAGAGAGTCATGATAAAAGCGGGAATCTCCCAGATTCAGAGCTGTTCTCTTGTAGAAGTAGAAATAAAACACGGCCACTGTCAGAAGAAAGAACAATAGAGTTAAAACCTGCACATTCCCAAAAGCAAGGAAACTAAAGTCAAGATGAAACAGTTTAGCTGGTGGCCATAACAGGGCACATAGCATCTGTAACCAGGTCCATATTCTTTATTTTAAATTTGGCTAGCTTCCTCTACATACATTTGGGTAAATCCAGCTTTAGAAATAGTGGCTTATGAAGTTTGTTTCATGGACCACCAAAGCTTGATAGCATGCCCTGGGTGATACCTACCAATCCTCTTTTACTCTGCTGTAGATTTTGCTGTAATTGGTGTCAGAGGGCAGTAGGTACGTTGAGCCTGTTGTTGTTATATGTCCTCCCTAAACCTGCTAGAACTCTAATTAATGATGGCAGGGAGAACATACTTCTTGTTGTGTCTTTCCCATGTCAATAGCCAAAGTGCTGTTCTAATATAGACAGAGCTTATTTCTAACACCAGGAGGAACCCAGCATGAGTGATAAGTGTCCAAATCATTGTGCTCTTTGAGCCACTTTCCGGGTTCAATGAATAGAGGAGTGGCGGGGAGCACTGGCAAAGTGAGCAACAGGGGTTGGGGCACAGACACTATAGAGGCTCCCTTCTAATATACTGGGTTTCAAATAGAACCTATTTGAACAGCTATTATTGCTCAGTTGAAGCTCTCAACCAGTGTTGGAGGCTGCCATTACTGGACTCTCAGGGCAGTGCTAGTTCTGTGAAAGGCCACAGCTCCAGCATTGACAATTACATTGCCTTGATTCTGAGATTCAGACAATAAGAGCCTCCAGAATAGAATGGGAGCCTGAGCTGTGGCAGATAACTGTTGTCCAGACAGACCTCCTTTACATCTCACATAACCTGAAGAGTGATAAAATTAGTAGAATCTGTATTGTAAGTGTTTCATCATTCTTATTATTGTAACTAACCACAAATTTGGAACTACATCAATAGAAAATCCATGACCGATCTTCATTTTTTATTGTTTTTTTTTAAAAGGATTTAGGTTTGAGTGTTAGAGACTTTTGGAAAGTTAGAACAACTAAAAGAGAATCAGCACCAAATATAGAAGTTTCCCTGGTAGTCAGATGAGTAATGCTGCAGTTGGTTATATTGCAGAAACGTTTCCGTAATTAATCTCCTCCATTGACTTGAATGGATAAAGAGATTAAACAAAGACGTAAGAGACCTTTAGGTTTTTTTTCTATTTTAAGTATACTTTTGGAAGATTAAACTGAAGAGATTAACCTCACAGAAACCACCCAACAGCCTCTGATAAAAATAAGTTGTAGAAAATATTTTAGTTCTAAATCTGCTTTAGGCTCTGATGTCTCCTACTTTATCAAATGTTGCTGGCTTGGCAGCCATTACTGTACACATAGGGGATTCCATGTATACATAAATAGCTACTGGAAATCACACTAATCTGATTGTAACTGCCAGTCATGCACATTGCAACTCAAAGCAACCTAAAGAAAAAAAGCAGTACATGTAGGAAAATGTAAAGCCAGACTCCAGGGAACCTAGAAGCCCTCTCCCTTGCAGTGAGGCTGCACCTGCACTGTAAGGGCTAGATTCTCATTTATGTTTGAAGGACATAAAGGCAGCTTTACGTACCTGATCTTCTGCACCCCTGGCAGACAACACTTGCTCCAGTGGTGTACTGTTCCCCAGGGTCCTCACATTCTTCACACTTTTCCAAGAAGGGGAGTGATGAATCATCTGCCTGAATAATTGTAGAGTGCACTATGGATAGAAAGTGCCTGGCTTGACCCACTGATACTTACCTCTCAAACAATACCTCCTCAGCCCCTCCTCTGTCACTGCAAGCTCTAAATACTTGCTGCTTCCAGATACAAGGGAGCATGTGATCTCCTCCCATGATGCAGTGCTAGGGCCTAGCAGTCTGAACTTACTCTCATCCTGGAGGGGTAGCATTACTACTCTTTATAGGCTGAGACACCAGCAGACACTGGGTAGTCTGTAATGGCTGGAACAGTGGGAGAAGCAGCAGGGGAGCACTAGCAAGAAGAGTATCAGTGGTTTGGAGTCGCCCCTTTAAATAGACACTGTCACTCTGCCCTGAATGGTGTCTCTTTAACACCTCCTAGATTGTAAGCTCCCAGGATCAGGCCCTCCTATCCCTCTTGTATTGAACTGTATTGTTGCTGTATTGTCTCCCTTTATATTGTAAAGCACTGAGCAAACTGATGTCGCTAAATAAATCCTTTATAATAATTATAATTATATAATACCATTTAAATACACCTAGACTCACCAACTCTCTGCAGAACAAACAGTGCCTGGAGCCCATCAGTCCAAATGAAGGCATTTACTGTGTTCCACCGTAAGTTCTACAAGGAAAATACACGGCAATTCAGATGTTACAAATATCAGCTTCATTAAATTCCTTAGAAAGAGAAACCTTGTAATAAAAGAGGATCATTACCATGAGCCACACGTGCAATGCCACGCTGAGCCCTAAATGCAGAGCGCACAGGATGACAGTGACCTGAAAGCGCTGACATAGGAGGCCCAGGAGACCAGCTTGGAAGACAAAGGTGTTGAACAGCATGAGAAACAAGACAATGGCTGCAAATAGGATGCCCACATCCTGCAATCTGAAATGGAAAAGGACATGAAGATAACCATGATGGTTGCAGAACTCATTTATATTATTTATTAAAAAGACAACCAAGACTTACATGAAGAGCACAAGCTGGATAACTGGAGCTGAACGCAGCAACTCAGAGAATGAATTGACAAATAAGTCATATATCAGCAGCAGGGACTGCAGGGAAAGCACCAGGCTGTAGTTCCCAGGCTGCAGCATCCTCCAATACACTGACCTGCACAGAGAGACACAGAATATTAGATATGGAGACAGGGGAGCAAAATGGAAACCAGACCTGGATACAGGAAGGAACTTGTAATGATAATGAGATGTGTGTTCTGTTCCTCAGTACTTTGTCCCATCTTCTTTCATGCTGTCCAAGGCTAGCTGTGAGGTCAAAGAGTGCGCTCCTCCTCCCTGCAAGACCATCCGATAACACAGCTAGCAAGCAGGGTGTTGCTCTGACCGGCGGCACTTTTCTCCATCTCCATCTATTTTCCCAAGGCAACCGTCTCAAGAGGAATGCAGGAGGAGGGGGACTTGTCAGCTATATGGTCCAGGCAAGAGGACAAATGCTTGGATATGGAAAAAAGTGCCATCTGTTAAAGCAGCCATCTCCTTGCTAGCTGTGTTCTCGGATGGAGGAGTAGTTCACTGTCCAAACTCCCAGCTAGCCTTAGACATCTCATAGAAAATGGGACAAAGTAGTACATGCACTTTGTCTCCTGGAGAACAGAACATGTTAATAAAAATCATAGGCAGACTTCTTTATAGTCACTGCATTTTTTTTGCTGAGGCCAGAATGATGTGTCAATGTGTCTTGATCCTGCAGCATCCTGGGATACTCACATCACATATTTCCGGAGGCTGCAAGATTGGGCACACAGAGCAGACCTGTCATGTCATCAAGAGCTGGCTGCCTGAACCTGGGAAAGGGAACCAAGATGGTGGCGTGGTACCTGGATGTCATGCGAACAGTGGGAAAACAATGGAATTGTTGTGCAGGCGAGTGTGTGTTTTGAAGGTAACACAGCAATAAAGGTAAAGGGGAGTATCGCTTTACACTGTATCTGTAGCCAAAATGTTTTTCCTGATTTTTAAATAGAGAGGGTAAGGGTTGGAACCCCTGTCAAACTTTACTGCTATCCAGTGCTCCATTAGAGAGAACAATAGTTTACTAGACCGGAAGTGAAGGGAAAATTGCAAAAGGGACCCAGAGCACAATAAAAGGCTGACAGAGGATCTAGCAGTACATGTGCTGTGGAGTATCCCGAGGCCTCCTGGGATGTGTGACTTTAGTATACCAGGAGTAGTGATGAGCTAAAGTGTGTTCAGATCCAAGTCTGAACCCACCTGAGCGATCCTGCCAGAAAGCTATCACTGTACAGAGCCAATGGTAAACAGCTGCGGTGTGACTGCAGGGCATGGAGTGCTTTGGCCATTCATGATTGGCTCTGTACAATGACAGCTGCCTGTCGGGATTGCTCATCCCTGCTCAGGAAGCTGCAGGCAGCTGAATATGTCATTCTATCCTAGCAGAATCTAGGGAGTGTGGGGATGTGCTCCCCAAAAAGGAGGGGGGTAGGAGTGAAACACCACAAACGGGTGTGGGGGGGGGGGTAAGGGTTCCTTCACACCTGCAAATGCACCTTGCCTCCAATTACATGTGAAAACTCCAATGGTGGTCCCCGCAATTAGCTGCAAGTAGGTTGCTCCACTGAAAGCAATGGCTGCCGACTCTCACAGCTAATTGCAGCCACTCATGTAAACGCTCATGCAGTGATCACATGCGAGTGATCGGCTCTAGCCATAGGCCGTCTGCATACATACATTAGATTGTACGCCCCTTGAGGGTTAGGGACTGATGTGGATGTACACTATATATGTAAAGCGCTGCGTAAATTGATGGCGCTATATAAGTACCTGAAATAAATAAATAATAAATCCCTATCACTTACATGTGACCTCTGCACGAGCAATTCGATTGAGTGGCCACAACAGCCTCCTATCGCTTTCAATGGTGCTGCCTCTCTCAGCCAATCACAGGAACCTTGGCATCTAACTGGAGGCTGGGTGCATTAACAGGTGTGAACGTACCCCAAGGCCACTTTTACATGGGTGTTCCATTTTTTCATCAGTTCAAGTCATGTTTTTTTCCAAGAAAAAAACAGATCAGTTCACATCAGTTTTTGATCAATATTTGTCAGTTTTTCATCAATTTGTATCCGTTTTTTTCATGTTTTAGATCAGTTTACGTCTGTTTTTTGTCTGTTTACATCTGTTTTTGTCCACGTAAACCTGTTTTTACATCCGTTCCATTTTTTTTTAACAGAAGAAAAATAGGGTTTTCTTCCGTTCAAAAAAACGGATGTTAACGGATGCAGACATGTAAATGTAAATGTTGTTCCCCCCACCCTGTGCCCCCCCATCCTCTCCATCACTACTAACAACGCCACCATCTTTCCCACCCCCCACACGCCAAAGTCCTGGGTGTCACCCTGGACTCCCACCTCTCCTTCCTACCCCACATCCAACTGCTATCTAGATCATGCAGGCTCCACCTCGGCAACATCTCCAAGATACGCACATTCCTCACCCCAGACACCACCAAACAACTCGTACACTCCCTCATCATCTCACGCCTGGACTACTGCAACTCCCTTCTCACTGGCCTACCCAAACGAACGCTATCCCCACTCCAGTCTATCCTAAACTCAGCGGCCAGACTCATCCACCTCACCAAGCACTCCACATCTGCCTCCCCCCTCTGCCAATACCTTAATTGGCTCCCGATTGCCCAACGCATCAAGTTCAAGCTGCTAACCCTGACCTACCATTCAGAATGCCGCCCCGAACTACATAACTGACCTGATACCCAGATACTACCCTACCCGTGCCCTCCGCTCCTCACAGGACCTCCTGCTCTCTAGCTCCCTGGTCTCCTCCTCCCACGCCCGATTGCAGGACTTCTATAGGACTTCCCCCATCCTCTGGAACTCCCTACCCCAATCCATCAGAATGTCACCTACCCTCCTCACCTTCAGGCACACCCTGAAAACCCTCCTCTTCAGGGAAGCCTATGCCAACCTCACCTAACACCCGACCTCACCTAACAACTAACCTCCTCCACTCCTCCCACCACTCCATCCCCCACAGCCATCTCCTCCTGTGCCACCTTCCCCTCCCTCCTAGATTGTGAGCTCGAAAGAGCAGGGCCCTCGAACCCCTCGTGTATTGTATTGTTACTGTCTTGTCTCATGTTATGTCCCCCTTGCTACTGTACAGAGCTGAGCATACCCTTTGGCGCTATATAAATACTGTATAATAATAATCATCTGTTTACATCCACTAGTCCATAGAAATACATGGGTGTCCAATTTTCATCTGTAAATGGACAGATGAAGAACGGACAAACATGTGAAAGGGGCCTATAGGTGATGCTTTAATGGTACCCGTCACAAAACTTCCCTGCTGAGATCCGCACAGGACAGATCCCTTAAAGCGAGGCCCCCCTATAAGGGCCCATTCACACAAAGCGCAATATGCATGGCCAGAATCAGGGGCAGACTGACCATTTGGAAACTCGGGCACTGCCGAGGGCCCGGGGTCAGTAGGGGGCCCCATGAGATGCCCCTGGTACCTTTTTCATAGGCTTTTTTGAATTTGGGCAAGGACACAGGGGCCCCATGACCCCCTATTGCCCGGGGGCCCCATGAGTTGTCAGACCTCCCCTGGCCAGACCGCGACTTGTCGTCCACATTCACATGTATGGGGGTCTGAAGGATCTCATTCACACAAAGGAACATGCAGGGAAAACAAGGCATCCCAGGTTGTCTGATCATCCTGCAGAATACAGACCCGGGGACGAGTACAGGATGACATGTGTCACTCTCTGACTGCTGGAGCACTAATACTCCCAGCACACCACTACTCCCAGAGCCCAGGCAGGACTGCAGTCCCCTTAGAGGAGCACACACTGCCATTACAGGGGGACGAGGAGGACAGTCCACATGTCACATAATACACAGGAGAACACATGGATACACACACGACTGCAGCGTACAGACCGCCGTCTCCAAGGCCCGATCAATCTAAACTTCCACCGCCATCATCCTGCTGTGAGCGATGCCATGACAACAATGATCCAAAGCCATGTGATCCTGACGTACGGCGACGTTCCCACCGAGGGCGGCCATATTGGAGGTGGGCAGATTGGAGGGTTTGTATTTCCTCTCACTCTGCTGTAGAGAGATCAGCCAGGAATTCTGCTCTGCCACCGCGGAGCATGAAGACGGAAAGAAAGGGGCTAATGAGATCAGGAGTAAGCTAGAGCAGCTATTGCAGGGTGAATGCAGGAAGAAATAGTCCATTCTACAGGGGAGATCCCAGTCTAACTGGAGAGGACTGGTGTGTTGTATACGATGCACTGTATTGTTATCCACTTCCAGTCCAGACACGTTTCACCCCCTTCCTGCCCAGGCCAATTTCCAGCTTTCAGCACTATCACACTTAGAATGACAATTGCGTGGTCATGCAACACTGTACCCATATTACTTTTTTAGCTTTTTTTGAGACAGATAAAACTTTATTTTGGTGGTATTTATTCACCGCTGGGTTTGTTAATTTTTTTTGCTATATAAATAAGTCCAAAAATTTTTTAAAAAACGAGTTTTTCTTATAAAATCTTGGCCTAAATTTATTCAGTTATCTTTTTAGTAAAAACAACCCAAATTATAACCAAAAATTATAATTTAAACATTTTTTTTTTTACATTTTATTTTTTAAATGTATGGTTTTTTTAACATACTGTCACCCTAGCAGTATAGTATCACCATAGTGACACTGTACTACTTGGGGGTGATGATTTTTTTTTTTTTTTTCTTACACTGATTGCTTTTACACCCGTAAAGGCTGTAAACGCAATCATTTCTCCTTCTCTTTAGCTGCATTCTTGCAGCCATTGAGAAATACTGTGAGAGCCATGATTGGTCACAGCTTGTCACATGGTACAAGGCTGTTGTGAATAGCCTTGTACCATGTGACCTCTGTGATCATTCACAGATTTCACACGTAGTAAGCAATGATGTCAGAAGTGACATCTTGCTTACACCTATTCATGTGATCACTGATTGGCCAATCAGTGATCACATGATCGGGACCTCACACAAAGGTCCTGTACAGCGATCAGTGTTCCGCTGTGCCCTCCGGACACCGCATCG